GAGGCTAGGGATGCTGCTATATATCATACAAAACCATAGACAGTCCCTGACAACCTAGAATTATCCAGGCTAAAATGTTAATAGTGCTTGGGTTGAGAAACCCTGCTCTAACCCCATTTCCCTGATGATACCATGTTAAATAGCCACGGTAGATTTATCCCAACAAAGAAATTCACGTTGGTTCAATTTTTCAACTAATGTCCTTTTTCTATTTCAGAATCTTTTTCTCCTTAGTTTGATCCACTCTGTGACACTTTCTCTGTCTTTCTTTGTTTTCATGACCTTGAAACTTTTGAAGAGATTTAGAAGTGTTTCTTACTTGGTACTGACCCTCCCCGCCCCGCCACCCATGGAGTATAAGGAAATGGGATCTGTTTGGGGGTTATATCTATGACTGTAGAGTGCTGTGGCATTTAAAGGGTGGGGAAGAGAGATAATCAGTGTGGCACATGGCTCAAGACAGTTCCCCATAACATTCCCACCCAAAATGCCAACAGCACACCCCCGTCGACACACTAAGAACTTAAGCCTTTCCTAGTAACTCATAGACAGTGAAATGATTGTTTCAAGACCACCATTTGGCAGGTAGTAAATTTCAAAATAAAAGCTTTGTTTTTAGAGTTTCAGTCCAGGAACTTTTTCTGTCTAACAATAACTGTCTCCATTGAAAATGTAAGGTTTAATATTTTCAGCAAAAATGTTAATCTTTTGGAAATCTTCATTTCTAAGTAGATAAAATATTTTCATTTTATTTGCTGAGGGTAATGTATTAAAGTATGAGTTGCCACCCATTGGAAACTTGAATAAATTTAAAGAACTTAAATTCATGGTATAGTTCCATAGTGATGGGGACAGAGGAAAGTATTTGGGGCCATAGTTGTGTTGATGGAGTTGTACGCCCTCCCTTTTTTTTTTTCTTTATAGTACTTACTCCACACCTCCACAGTGTATGCATTTATTTATTTGTTTATCTTTTGTCTCCACCTCCTTAGCAAGCTCCATAAGATAAAGGACTTTGTTTACAGCTGTATTCTATGGCTCTCTAATGGGGAATACCATGAAATTCATGTTTGAACAATATTTAAAGAGGCTTCATATGGAAAGAATAATACAGACAAAGTAACCAAATGACTCTTTACCTGATTTCAACCTTTTATGCCTGAAATTCTATTTGGTATTTAATTTATATAAATGTTATGTACTATGCATAATATTTTACCTCTTATCTTTTTCACTTGATGGTGTATTTTTGAAATTTATTCTTTTTTTTTTTTGAGATGGAGTCTTGTTCTGTTGCCCCGGCTCCAGTGCAGTGGCACGGTCTCAGCTCATTGCAACCTCCACCTCCTGGGTTCAAGCGATGCTCTTGCCTTAGCCTCCTGAGTAGCTGGGATTACAGGTGTGCGTCACCATGCCTAGCTAATTTTTGCATTTTTCGTAGAGATGGGGTTTCACCATGCTGGCCAGACTGGTCTCAAACTCCTGACCTCGTGATCCGCCCCCTCAGCCTCCCAAAGTGCTGGGATTACAGGCCTGAGCCACCGTGCAAGGCTGAGATTTATTCTTTTATTTAAAAAAATATGTAGCTCTAGCTCAGTGGTTGCCACCAGGGGGTGATTTTGTCCTTCAGGGGATATTTGGGAATACCTGTAGCCATTTTGGATTGTCACTACTGGAGGTAGTTCTGATACCTGGTAGACAGAGCTCAGATTTGCTGCTAAACAACCTGGAAAGCAGAGTATCCTCACAACATAAAATTATCTGGCATGATCGTGCTGATGTTGAGAAACCCTGGGCTATTTCTTTCCTTTAATCTGTGGAACAGTATTCCCTCGACAGCATATACTATATTTACTTTATTCCCGTACTGATGAACATTTGGGTTGTTTCAATTCTCTGCTATGATGACGAGTGCGGCAAAGAACATCCTCACCAGTGTCTGTGTGTGTGTGCCACAGGGTTTCTGGTAGCTGCATTTTCTGATCTAGGAATCACTTCCAAATGCCATTCCAGAGTGGCTGGACTCCTTGCTTCTACAGCGTCACCTGGGATTCCAATTCCATGCGTCTTTACCAGCCCTTGGTATTATTTAACTTTTAAATTGTTGCCAGTTTGAAAAGTTTAAAATAGTAGCTCATTTGTAACAATTTTGCATTTCCTGATTGCTGGTAAGACCAGACCACAGGAATCATTCACACCCCAAGCATTCTAGAAAACTGGTGAAAATGTTTTCTGTCCAGCATGCGCCACTTCATTTGGTTTGTCCCTGCGTCTTTGATATGTATTACAAAACCGCACATTTTGGGGGACTAGGCTTGCCTGTTTCTGCCACTAGAGGTCACTGATCCTCAGTGGTTCTCCACCAGTATGACTTCTGACCTCTCTATCCTCCCAGGGAGTATTTGGCAACGCCTGGAGCCACTGTTGATAGTCAGGACTGTGAGTGTGCTGCTGGCACCTAGAGGTGAGAGGCCAGGCATGTTGCTAAGGCCCTGCAATGCACAGGACAGCGTCCCCCGCCCCCCTTCCCCCACCAACAAGAACCATCTGGCCCAAGTAATAGTGCCAAGCTGGAGAAACCATGGTGTCGTCTTTGAAAGAAAGCATATGACAAACTCTATAATAAAGACACCTATTATTAACAATAACAAATATTTTATTGCAGAAACTGGCGAAACTGGAGAGAAGCATGCCTTCTGTCCCCAGGGAGAGGGCAGGGGCGAATGGGCAAGGAAAAGGGAAGGGTTTTAAGGGAGAGGAGAGGTGGGCCTGGGGCTCGCTGAGTGGTCAGCTGGAGCGGTGGAAAGTGCCCTGGTGGGGCCAGTGGCTGGTGTGGGGGTGGAACCACAGTCAGTAGGGTGAAGGCGCTGAGGGCTGGAGGCTCAGGAGGTGGTGGCAGGGGCCTGACTCTTGGAGCTGGGCAGCAGGCTGGGTGTGCTCAGAGGCTCATGGCCGCCCTGGCGAACCTCCTTCCAGGCGCAGGCAAGCCTGAGGCGTCAGGGCAGTGCTGCCCGCAGGCCCAGCGCTCCTGCGGTGACTCGGCGACCGGGCACCTGGCAGCCGCACATCCTGCAGCATGGCAGGCGGCCGCCAGGGAGGATTGAGACAACGCTGCCTGGGAGTGGGGGCCTCTGCTCAGCGGCCTAGACCTGGGCACCAAGGAATGGGCCACTCCGTTTCTCATCACAGGCTTGAAGGCAGATGGCCTGGGCGTCGGGCTCCCTCTGCGCTCCAGCGGGGTGATTTTCACAGTCACCAGGCTGTGGACAGGCTGGGGGAGTGGTGGGCGGTCCAAAGCCACCGCTTCACGTAAGCCATGCGAGCCTCGGAGAAACCAGGCCTGATGTTGCTCAGCAGCGGCGACCTGTTGGGAAAGCACCTCCAGGCCTGGGGGACCATCTCCGGAGGTGGATGGGGGCGGGGACCATCTCTCTCCAGATGCGGATGGATGCGGGGGTAGTCCCAGCTGGGAGGAGCGGTGGGGAGGGGCCGGGTGCGGACCCACTGCTTCCCTTGGAAGTAGGTGACCTTGCAGTTCTCCTGGACGTGGGGGCTGAGGAAGGGCGCGGCTTTCTGACCCAGAGCCAGCCCAGGAAGCGGCTCAGGTAGCTGCCCATGAGAGCAGGGCAGTGGGTGGGGCCTTTCAGTAGACACTGGGGTGCCAGAAGTTTCCGGAATCTGCGGTCAGGGTCTGAGATCAAATGTCAGTGTTCAGTGACCAGCGACCCTTGGCATCAAAATGTCGGAAAGTGCACGAGGCGCCGTGTGCTGGGTATGGTCTGGCCAGCAAGTGTCGCATGGGGCAGGAGGCCACGGCCAGGCCAGAGCTTTGCGGCGCGCAGCTGCAGAACGGGCGGGTGGTGCCCCATGCTGTCTGGCCGACCAAGGAGGTTCAAGCCTCAATCCTTCCCACTCACTAAGTGTCCCAGACACTTAGCTCTGGGCAAAGGGGCCTGGCAGCTACCTCTACTTTTGTACCTGACCTTTAAAGGCAGAACACAGAAGAATTTCTGCCAGGTCCTGAAAACCAGAGATACCTGTTGACAGAAGGGTGCTCTCTTTGATCAGTGTGAAAATGATCACAATACACATGGATGCTCTAAACAAATCCTTTACTCATATCAGATTCTTCTAGGATGGATGTAAATGTTGCTTTTTGCAATTTTGCTCTTAAGTAAACTGGGAAAGCCATCAGGTTTTGTTTTAGCACTGGCAATGTTGATTTTATGTGGACTTTCCTATAATTTCTAGCCTGAGTACATCCATGTACAGATTGTCTCTCTCTGAACACTGTCATTTCCCCCTTTTCACTTTTAATGGTAATACAGAGGAGAGTGAGTCACATTTCCAATTTGCAGTTGAAAAGTGTGTAACTGCCAAACAAAGAGTTCGAAGACTGCTGGTGAATTGATTATAGTGCTTAAGTTTGGAGGTTCGTTCAAGGCAATGTAAAAGAAACTGTTTTTGAGAACTTTTTCTTCAAAAGTACACACAGAAGGTGTCTTTTGTCTTGGCCCCGATGCTGGGGTGGAAGAGAGACAGTAGATGCAGACAGAGCAAGTATTGATTCATAAGGGGGCAGCAGATCCTCTCTGGGTCCGAGAGGTGAAAGACTGAATGGGCAGGGTACTAAAAAGAGTTTAATGAGAAAATACCAAAGGTTTCTATGATTCAGAGAGGGCCAAGCATTGGGGAAACAGGGGCTGACACCAACCGGTGATGGAGAATGAGATCCCCAATACTCTCCACTGACTGTTATTATTTTTTGGCAGATTCCCTATTATTCCCTATAAAGAATGATCCCCAAGTATAGGATTTTGAAACAATGGGAATTTCCTTTATAATTTTCTTCTTACTGAGATCATTCTTCATAATGGTAGAAATGACTTTTTAAACATAGCTAAAATGTTTCTTAAGATAATAATAGCATCAGAGTGAATGGTTTAATACCGTTTGTTATGATATTCTTCTAATATATTTTTTCTTTCCACTGTCTGCAGAATTTCCCATGTCCTACTTTGCAATGTAACCCAAAGGGTATCATTCTGGTTTGTGGTTACAGACCCTTCAAAAAATCACACCCTTCCTGCTGTTGAGGTGCAAACAGCCATAAGGTAATCACCCTTAAATATGCCTTCTATTGGTCGATCAACTTGCTGATTAATTCAACTGGTTTTAAAAATAGATATTGTAGAGTTTTGTCTGTTTCACACATGAATTATTTATTAAAATGTAAAAGATTTCATTTTGTTAGTTTCTGTTAAAGATGAGTATAGATCAGTAGTTCTCATCCAGGGGCAATTTTGCCTTCAAGGAGACATTTGGCACTATCTGGAGACATTTGGCAATGTCTGGAGACATTTTTATTGTCACAGCTGGAGGGGGTGGTGGTACCACCAGCAATGAGTAAGCAGAAGTTAGGGACCCAATGGCTTACCTTTTTCAGTCAATATATAGTCTTTACTTTAAAAAGATAATTTTTTTTAAAAAGGTAAAATCATGACTCTCATGCAAACTAAACATTATTACTATCAAAAATTTTATTATGTCATTAGTTAATGAGGGCACTAGTAAGATGTTAAAACCTTTTTCAAGGAGACTTCGAGGAATCACCCATACATAGAAAGTGAGGAATGGTAAAATGCATCTACAGAAAGATGCATCAGTCTATTTTTCAGGCAGTAACCAATTATGTTCCACTAGACACAGTTCATTTGATTTTCTATGGACAAGAATCATTTATATTATGTTAGTTTTCAAGAACTTATGGATTTGCAAAATAGCTCAAAGACCATAAGAGATGGAAATTGCCTAGAACAGTGCTCTCAGCAGGACAATCAGGAAAAAGTCCAGTACTCTGTTTTGCCCATTTCAAGTATTTTACTATTTTTCCCGACTTCCCGACAGTTTTTTTTTTTTTTTTTTTTTTTTTTTTTTTTTTTTAAGATGGAGTCTTGCTCTGTCCCCCAGGCTGGAGTGCAGTGGCCGGATCTCAGCTCACTGCAAGCTCCGCCTCCCAGGTTTACGCCATTCTCCTGCCTCAGCCTCCCGAGTAGCTGGGACTACAGGCACCCGCCACCTTGCCCGGCTAGGTTTTTTTTTTTGTATTTTTTAGTAGAGATGGGGTTTCACTGGGTTAGGCAGGATGGTCTCGATCTCCTGACCTCGTGATCCGCCCGTCTCGGCTTCCCAAAGTGCTGGGATTACAGGCTTGAGCCACCGTGCCGGGCCTACTTCCTGACAGTTTTACTCCTTCCCTCCTTATGATCGTAAGAAACTCAAAAGTGAAATGAATTCATGACTTTCAAGAATTAATAGGATGCAACTTGTATTTCTTTCAATTACTGTGCATTTAGTATGTGTCAAAACTTCAAATACCACATTTGATTGATGTTGGGGAAAGGCCTACTCAAAAAATGAGCTCAGGAAATAAACTAGAACAAAACAAAATAGCTCTCCCTGCAAAAGATTTACAAGTTACTGAAATACATATTATTATTTTTACCAAGGATAAATACTTACTGGAATAACTCATTAGCTCTCTGTAAAATGTTAACACTTAAGATAATGAGTATATAATCAAATGTCAAAGGTTTTTGTGAACATCATCTGTTTCTTTTGCTGAAGCAAAGGCACTGAGGATTTATACCAATGGGAAATGATTGAATCTGCCCTAACAAGAAACTATGAACTAAATTGCTTCTTCACTTTTGCCGCTAAAAATACTGTTAAGACTCTCACCACTTAGGGAGTAAGAATTAAAAATATCATACTTCATGTGAAAAAGGATTTTATTCATGTCTTGTGATCTGTGAGGGCTACAAGGAAAATGAAGGCACTGGGTTAAACCAGGCCTTCAGTTGATAGGAGAAAGAAGAGTGAGTGCTTAGGGTGAAGGTCCAGAAAGTATTAATACATGAATATGTTCACAACAAAATGTCTGTTTCAAAGGTCCTAGCAAGAGAATCTGTTTAGGAAGTGGGGATAGCCAACAGAATGAGAATTTATGTTAGGGAATTAGTAGGGCACATCAGGATTGGATGAAAATAAAGGAAACTATACTACAAAGGAAGGATAGAGTGAAAAAAGGAGATGGTGTTTAGATAGCAAATAATAGGAATTTCAAGGCTGCAGAATCTAAGTGATTGGGCAAAATAATACTAGTTCCACCTAATATTTGCATACCACTTTTTGGTTCACAAGGAATGTTCTTATGCATCTGTGGCATTTAATAATGGCACCAACAATTTTTTTGTTTTCTTTTTAAGAGACAGAGTCTGGCTTTGTTGCCCAGGCTAGAGTGCAGTAGCATGAGAGTAGCTCACGCAGCCTTGAACTCCTGGGGTTCAAGTGATCCTCTTGTCTCAGCCTCCTGAGTAGCTGGGACTAGGGGAATGTGCCACTATGCCTCGCTAATTTTAAATTTTTTTTTTTTTTGTAGAGACAAGGTCTCGCTATGTTGTCCAGGCTGCCCTTGAACTGGCCTCAGGCAATCCTCCTGTCTCAGACTCCCAAAGTGCTGGGATTACAGGCATGAGCCACTGCACCCAACCAACACCAATAATTTTTGAGTAATTATTATTATCTTTCCTTTATAAATGAAGAAACTGAGGCTCAGGGAGATTAATTTATTTGTGAAGGCCACCATGCTAGAAAGAGAAAGAGTGAACCTAGGCATGCTGCCACCACATCCAGTGATTTTTCCTGTTTTCCAGAGTACACAAAGAACTAAAACAGACATCTCAGAATTGGTTGGTCATTCCTTTACACAAAGTGCATGGGGTAAAGGTCCAGGAAGTACATGAATTTGTTCACAAAATGTCTATTTCAAAGGTCCTAGCAGGATAAACTATTTAGGAAGTGGGAATAGCCAACAGAATGAGAATTACAGAATTCTCATTTCAAGTAAAATAGTTGAAATGGGCAAAACAGAGTACTGGACTTTTTACCAATACAGAGTATTCATGGTATGAGGTAAAGAAGTGACCAACTAATTCCAAGATGTCTGTTTTAGTACTTTTGTGAGGGCCTGGCTTAATTCAACACCACTCTTGGCTGAAAGATATGCATGATGCTTGATGCCAATTGGTGATTCCAGTGGTGTAGCAGATTTAATATGTACCTGAGCTAGAACTTCCAGTCGGTCTGTGAGGTGATAGAATACATTCCAAGCCTAGAGTAAGCAAGTAACAAAGGGTTAACCGACTAGGAAGTTAGAATGAGAATGCAGAGCAACTTTTCATTTTTCTCTGAGTTATATCTTAGCAGTGGGTTTCATTATTTTGTGGAAAAGTTTGTGCTCTCAGATGATCAATATTAGTTTATGACAAAATAAAATATTCCATTGTTGGATAAAAATCCCTTGTTGTAGATTGTCTGGCTAGAGTTCACTGTCGCATCCATGAGTAATCATGCCTCAGCAGAGATATTTATTTACTAAAGGAGGTCTTTCCTGATAGCCTGGTGCTGGCCTGCAGAGATTCTCAAGCCATACTATCAGGCTGTAGACTTGAGCTGTCCAGTACCGTAGCCACCAGCCAAATGTGGTTATTAAGCACCTGAAATGTGACTAATCCAAAGTTAGGTGTGCTCACAGTGTAAAACATAAACCAAATGTCAAAGACATTGTACAAAATAAAATGTGGAGCCCCAGCCTGAGCAATATAGCGAGACCCTGTCTACACACATACACACACACACACACACACACACACACACACACAGCCAGGTGTGATGGCACACACCTGTAGTCCTAGCTACTCGGGAGGTTGATGCAGGAGGATTGCTTGAGCCCAGGAGTTTGAGGCTGCAAAGAGCCATGAGTGTTCCTGTCTCAAAAAACAAACAAACAAACAAAATGCAAAGTCAACTTGATACTGATTACATGTTGAAATTATATTTTCTTGGATATATTGGACAAAAAATACATTATTAAAATTAGTTTCATCTGTTTATTTTAGTGCAGCTACTAGAAACTTTTAAGTCACATGAAGCTCACATTATATTTCTGTTTTCCAAGGCTGCTCTAGAGGTAGACAAAGGCAGCTTGTGTAATATAAATTCAATAAAGGTCATAAAATATCTCCAAGGACTCTCCAGTTTACAGTTAGAAATTCACTTATTTGGTTTCAATTAAATAAGTCTTTGCTACCAACCTCTCCTTAACTGCCACCACCACTAAAAATGCAGATATTTCCTAGGAAAAGTAACAATTTTCCAAGCTTTTGAACTCCTAAATCATTACTTGTCTTTAGTCCTGTGGAACTACTTGCAGTTTGCTGAACAAGTCTTACTTTACCCTGTCTCCATTCCTGTGCTCACTACATACTTTGGTCTATAAACTCCTCCTTGTCCCTCAAAACGAGCTCAAAAATGGCCTCCACAGCAAAGCAGTCACTGTGTGACTTCTCACAGTGGTGTACTTGGCCCTTCCCTCTGCTCACACTGTGCCCGTATTTGCCTCTTTCACAGAACATTTTGCACTGCACCATGGTTGTGGATCTACTAATCTGTCACCCTTCTAGACCGTAAGCTCCTTGATATTTCAATTTCACATTGTATCTCCAGCATCTAGCTTAGTATTTGATATTTAGTAAGTTTTTGGCAAATGCTTGTTGAATTAATGAAAAAAAAGATCAAGATCAAGTTGATGAATTTGAAGCCACTCCTGGTTCATGGTTTCTTTTTAGCTTCTGGTTTTCTTTACTTCTCCTATTCATCACCCATATTTTACATGTAATTTTACTTTTGGGGGCTGTGATATTTATGTAAGCCACCTTAAATAGAGTTTTGTTATTCTAATCTAGATGCTACTCACACAGGACAGGTGAAACCCAAATTGGGGCTTAGCCCATGAGGATTCTGGGCTTTGCCCAGGAAAGAATCCAAGAGAGAGCCAGAAGTAGAAGAAAACAACTTTACTGAAGAGGCAGTATTACAGCTCCAGTGATGTTACTGCTCTGTGACTGCTGCAGAGCAGGACTACCCTGTAGGCAGAGACTGGCAGCTCAGGGCAATTTTGCAGTCATATTTATACCCACTTTTAATTACATGTAGATTAAGGAGCAGTTTATGCAGAAATTTATAGGGAAGGGTAATAACTTTGGGGTCATCACGTCATTGCCATGGAAAGGGGTGGTAACTCCCAGGTGTTGCCATGGCAATGGTAAACTGACATGGCACACTGGTGGGCGTGTCTGATGGAAAGCTGCTTCCCCCCACCCCCCAGCTCTGTTTTAGTTCGTCCTCAATTTGGTCCAGGGTCAGAGCCCTACCTCCAGAGACGAATCCCTCCTCCTACCTTACTACCTCTCAGGAAGTAAAACATGGTGGACAGAGCTCAAAGGTCAGGACTTCGGGACATTCACAACAATGGGGGCAGCAGTGGATACATGGGCATCCCTCTGGCAGCTAGCGTTGTAACTTAAGAGAAACGGTGGCATGATTGCCCTCAGCAAACTTTCCAGTCAACTTGAAGTCTCCTGCCAAGTGGATGCTTTGTTTATAGAGATGTTTATAATCATGGAGAAACAGGTTTGTACTTTGTCTTAATAGTTTTTTTTTCTGTCTTATTTTGTTTATTTTTAATTATCATTGCATTTTAGAATGAACAAGAACCGGATCAACGGTGCTTTCTTTCTAAATGACCAAACTCTGGAATTTTTGAAAATCCCTTCCACACTTGCACCACCCATGGACCCATCTGTGCCCATCTGGATTATTATATTTGGTGTGATATTTTGCATCGTCATAGTTGCAATTACACTACTGATTTTATCAGGGATCCGGCAACGTAGAAGGTAAGATATTTAAAAGGAGCATTTTCTTATTTCCTCATGACTTGGACAAATCAGGAGAAGATTTTCCTCTGGCTGAAGATGATGCCTTAAATTTGAAACTTTGAAAAAATTGGTGATTTTCAAAAATATCACTTATGCTCTTGTCTTTAGATATATTTTAGAGTCCAATGTCCCTTACTTAACTAGGTTCCTTCCACGACTACCTTTCCCTCTATTCTGTACCTCTATTCTGTACCACTTCATATCCAGGCTTGATTTTAATATCTGTGTTGTGGTTTTGTAAGCTGGATATAAGGAGCTAAACAGACTTTTTGGGTAGGCAGAGTTAATCTTGGGTAGTCATCCACATCCAAATGCCAGCAGTTTCATAGTTCCATGCCTCCCTACCTTGGCTTACCTCTTCTTAGCCCAGTGCATGCAGACTACCATCTTGTCCCAGATGCTTTTGTACTGTTATACTTCCCTCCCTTTGATGGACACTCATCCCTTGTGTGCCTATGATATTGAATAGAGCTGTGTTGCTCGTGGCCTTTAAATCAACTCTCAGCACCAGAATCACCTGGAATACTCGTTTAACATGTAGGTTCCTTGGCCCTATTGCAAACCCACTAAATTAGAATCTCTGAAGGGATGCATTTTAATAAATACTCAGGTTATTCTAATTCATTGAGTTTGAGAGCTTTCAATTGAATAATTTATAGGTAGAGTTTTACTCCTTGAGTTCATTTACTTAGATTCTGGGGGCACTTGCAAACTGCAATGTCTAAATTATTGATACTGCTTCAAGAGGGAATTTAAGACCTGTGGGGAAGTTACTGAGGTAGGGGAGAAGAAGAGGAGACAGGATTTCTCAGCATGATTTTGTTAACCAGTACCTCTAATCCAGGGGGGAAGTGGGAAAAATCCTCAGCTTTTCACTAGACTTTAATGCTTGTAAACCTTTCTTTCTGATACTAAGGAAGAGGAATTCTGGTAAGTGGTAATTACAGTGACATGCATTTGAAAATAACAGGGACATGGTTTTTAAAAGTGTCGGTTCCTACATGGGACATGTGGGATGTGTTTGGCTAAGTATGTGTTTGACTAAATGCTTCTCTTGAAGTTTACTACTTTCCATATGTTTCACCTTAGTAACTAACAGAAGGTAATAATTTTAAATCTTGGGCTTTGTCATTTTATTTACAAATGATAAGTAAAATGCTATGAAATAAATATGGTTTGTGTCTAGTCCTCAAATTAAATTCAAAGATTAGGATCCAGTTACACTTACCTGATTTTCTTGATGATCTTGGCATGACATGTAATGTAAAGAGACTTGGTACAAGATGTTCGTTTTGGTTTTTCTTTTGAAAATATTGAGAAATATTCTCATGCAATGCTTGAATACCTGTGTTTAATATTTTTGTTTTATATTATTCTTGAGATGCTGTGATTCTGTGTTCTAACAACTGTAACGTTAGTGAATTCACTCCATCTACTTGGTTTCTAATTTCCTCACTTGTACAATATAGTGTAGGAGTTAGAAGAATGGACTCTGGAGATAGATTGCTTAGACCCAATGTATTTATCTCTTAGATTCTGCCCTTGTATATAATCCGTTAACTGTATGGATATCAGGAAGCACAATAAGTCAGGGAAACTGAGCTTAGGAGAATATAATTTGTGGTGCTAGAGTCAAGCTGGTCAAGTTTATCTTTACTGTTTGCGAATAGATAACTTTTCTAGAGTGACAGTGAGGCGTACTGGAAATAATTAACTTGGTGGGATAAAAAGAGTTAATACATAGAGTGCTTAGAGTGGTATCTGGCACACAGTGAGTGCTCAGTAAGTGTTAGCTGTTACTGTTATTTTATGATCTTGCCATTTGCTGGTCTTTCAGCTAGTTTGTGCTGGGATTAGCTATCTCTTTCCTTCTGAGCAGATTCTGCAGTAATATAATAATTGAGTGTGTAGCATCATAATTTGTTGCCTGGGAGAAGTGAAGCTGTTGTCACAAACTTGCCTTCACAAATTTATTTCATGTTCAAACTGGGAAAGCAGATGGACAAATCTCTTGTGTAAACCGGGAGAGCGTCGATAATTAGCAAATATAATCAGGAAAATTATGACAACCTTCTGAAGATAAATTGTTTGTTGTGTTTTAAGTTTGACACAATTTGTGGTGGGTTTCTCCTGGACAAAATGTTCTTTCAAATGTGAGGAGAGGGTGCAGTCTGAAGTGGGGAGAGCCCTGAAAATTGCAATGAAAGCCCTTTCTAATCATGGAAAAGATAGGAGTTGCCCCCAAAACCTTTAGTTTCGAGGAAGACGGTCAAAGGAATGTTCAACAGTCTAACCCATACATTAGGTAATAATGAACATAGTTTTTGTGGTACAGAATCTTTTTTTTTTAATTACACTTAAAGTTCTAGGGTACATGTGCATAACGTGCAGGTTTGTTACATATGTATACTTGTGCCATGTTGGTGTGCTGCACCCATTAACTCGTCAGCGCCCATCAACTCGTCATTTACATCAGGTAAAACTCAGAATGCAATCCCTCCCCCCTCCCCCCTCCCCATAATAGGCCCCGGTGTGTGATGTTCCCCTTCCTGAGTCCAAGTGATCTCATTGTTCAGTTCCCACCTATGAGTGAGAACATGCGGTGTTTGGTTTTCTGTTCTTGCGATAGTTTGCTGAGAATGATGGTTTCTAGCTGCATCCATGTCCCTACAAAGGACACAAACTCATCCTTTTTTATGGCTGCATAGTATTCCATGGTGTATATGTGTGTGGTACAGAATCTTAAACTTAGAAGACCTGGAAGGACCATGGGATTATCTAAGTCACCATTCTGCTTCTATGGAGAAGAGTGCCAGAGTCATCTAACACACATATATATATTTAAACTTACTATTGAGGAAATTTCTCAGCAAAGCTTTAGCAATTCTGTTCTCTTTGCCAATAACACCATTATATTAGTTATTCAGGGACACTGAGTGGCAAGTATGCAACCAATGGAGCCCAGACTAGGTAAACTCAAATACCAGCTATTCCCTTTACCTATATAATCTTAGTTGAGTCACCTGATTTCCAGGGATCTCAGTTTCTCCATCTGCAACAGGGAGATGATGTTTCACAGGGCTTTCATGAGGATTGACTGACATAAATGTGTATAAAGTACCTAGGATATAGTGTGCAGTAAATAAACAGTAATTATTATTATCCAAGATCAGCTTAACCTATTGCTATGATTAAGAGGTTCTGGGAAAGGATCTCTTTTCCACCAAGATATTGTGGAAAATATCTTGGTATTTTCCATCATACTGTAGAAACTTCTCCAATTCACCAACTCATTGCTTGGATTTTATTAAATGCTTGTTTTATTTTATTAAGGTGGTGTTAACAAATAAAAGTTGTATGTATTTATGGTATATAAGGTGATATTTTGATATATGTATATATTATGAAATGGCTAAATCAAATAATTAACATATTCATCACTTCACATACTTATTTTAGGGGAGGAGATCACATACTTAATTTAGGGGGCAAGCATTTAAGATCTACTCTCTTGGCAATTTTCAAGTATGCAGTACATAATTATTAACTGTAGTCATCATGCTGTACAGTAGATTGCCCAAACTTATTCGTTTTGTCTAAGAGAAACTTTGTGTCTTTGACCAACATCTCCCCCCACCCACGCCAACTCCTGGCAACCACCATTCTACTCTCTGCTTGTATAAATTCAACTTTTTTAGATTCCACAAATAAATGAGACCATGTAACATTTGTCTTTCTGTGCCTGGCTTACCTCATTTAGCATACTGTTCTTCAGGTTCATCCGTATTGTCACAAATGTCAGGATTTCCTTCTTTTTGAAGGCTGAATAGTATTTCATCGTACCACATTTTCTTTATCCATTCATTCATTGATGGACACTTAGGTTGATTCCATACCTTGGCTATTGTGAATAGTGCTGGGTTGAACGTAAAAGTGCAGAAATTTCTTTGATATAATGGTTTCAGTTCTTTTGGGTATATACTCAGAGTGGGATTGCTGGATCATATGGTAGTTTATTTTTTATTTTTTGAGGAACTTCCATACTGTTTTCCATAATGGCTGTACTAATTTACATTCCCTGCAGTAGTGTACCAGGGTTCCCTTTCCTCCACATCCTCACCAACGCTTGCTATGTTTTGTCTTTTTGATAATAGGTATTTTAACAGGTATGAGGTGTTATCTTATTGTGGTTTTGATTTGCATTTCCCTGGTGATAGTGGTATTGAGCATTCTTTCATGTACCTGTTGGCCATTTGTATGTCTTCTTTTGAAAATTTTCTATTCACATCCTTGCCCATTTTTAAATTGGGTTATTTGTTTTCTTGTTATTGAGTTGTTTGAGTTTCTTATGTATTTTTGGATATTAACTCCTTTGCTGTGCAGAAACGTTTTATTTTGATGTAAATCCCATTTGTCTATTTTTGAATTTGTTTTTGTGCTTTTGGGGTCATTACCCAGACCAATGTCATGGAGCTTTTCTCCTATGTTTTCTTCTAGTAGTTTTACAGTTTCAGGTCTTATGTTTAATTCTTTAATCTATTTTGAGTTGATTTTTGTATTTGGTGTGAGACAACAATCCAGTTTCATTCTTTTGCATCTAGATATCCAGTTTTCCTAACACCTTTTATTGAAGAGATTGTTCTTTCCTCATTGTGTGTTCTTGCCACCTTTGTTGAAGATCTGCTGGCCATAAATGCATGGATTTATTTCTATCCTTGCTGTTCTGTTCCATTGGTCTATGTGTCTGTTTTGATGCCACTACCATGCTGAATAAACACTTTTTTAAAATGCAAGTAATCCTATGAGGTCTACTGGTCACCACAATAGTGGTGAATTGGTTAACCAGCTCTCTATCTAAAAAACACCCTGATTTGTAGCATTTGCCAGTTTCCCATCAAGGCTGAAAAATTCTGAATAAATACTCTGATTTGCAGCATTTGCCAATTTCCCATCAAGGC